ATCAAACCTGGAACTGCCACGTGCAAGGCAAGCACCCTTCCTGCCATACTGTCACGCCAAACCTAAAGGGAGACAAAATACTTAACAGACTGGAGTAAAAGTGCCTTGCATGTAGCTGACCAGATTCAATCCCTGGCATAGCATAGAGTCCCTGAGCACTGCCCAAAGTGACTCCTGAGCACAAAACCAATAATAGTCCCTAAACACAGCTGAGTGTGGCCCAACTCCCGTGGACATCGACCCCACCCCCCAAAAAATTAACTGGGTTGGGAAGATATCTTGTATGCATCACTTAATGCCTTGAGTTCCAATAGGAGTGGCCCCAAAACAAGTTAAATTTAACAGGCTCTTAATCACTGTAGAAGGAAGAAAAGACTCTGTTTCCTCTTGGCCTTCTTTGACCTAAGGATGGAAGGGGGCGGGGGGGAAGCCAAGCAGCATTTGTGAAAGTGGTAGTCCAAGGATATGGCCTCACTAAAAAATTCAGACGTTAACAAAAAATTGAGACCCTAACAGGGCTTCCCTAACAGTTCCCCCATCATCTGACCTATATTATCAGTAGGACTTCTATATAGCACAGGGTTACAACTGAAAACAAGCTCAGATACTATTTTAGAACTCTCTATAGAAACCTATAAGGTGAGAAAAGAAACCTACTAACACTCACTAAACTTAGCTTTACTCCTACCCAAATAAACAAAACCTCTGTTCAATCTATCAAGTACATTATGTCTGACTTTCAATAACCATAAAACAAATTATAAAATATACTAGGGGCTGGAGCAATAGCACAGCGGGTAGGGCATTTGCTTTGCATGTGGCTGACCCGGGTTCAATTCCCAGCATCCCATATGGTCCCCTGAGCACCACCAGGAGTAATTCCTGAGTGCATGAGCCAGGAGTAACCCCTGTGCATCGCTGGGTGTGACCCAAAAAGCAAAAAAACATACTAAAAGGTGAAAAACATAATCTGAAGAGACAAACCAAGCACCAAAAATAGACTCATGAGAGAAATTCTGAATTATCAAATGGATTTTTAAATACTAGTTGCTTTATTAAAAAAGGTGGACAGCGTGCAAGAAAGGATGACTAATGTAAGCAGAGACAAAAAGGAAATTCCATAAATGAAAAGACTAAATGAATGGCTTTGATGGACTTAGCATTACCCTGAACATAAGAAAAGAATTAATGAACTTGAACTGAAAGTGGAAAAGAACAACATAACCTTATAAGCGTAGATAATAGTAAAAATTGAATTTAAAAATTAAATTTTAATACTTGCTGTCTTCTTTTTTTTGTAGGAGTACTGCTATTTATTCAGCCACTGATTAGCTGATTGAATTGGGCATGAACGCCACCTTAATTTTTTAAAAATTTTATTTATTTTTTTCCTTTTTATATTTATTTATTGAATCACTGTGGGAAAAGTTACTAAGCTTTCAGGTTTAAGTCTCGGTCATACTATGATCAAACACCTTTCCCTTCACCAGTACTCATTTTTCACCACCAAGAGCCCCAATATACCCCCCCTCCCACCCCTCTAAATGTCTGTGAGGCAGATGATTTCTATTTAACTCTTCTCTACATTGATTACATTCATTATTTCAACAAAAGATACACTATTATTGTTTAGAATTTCCCCCCAAACAATCAGAATTGCTGGAAAGGCATTGTGAAATATTTTGTTTTCTATAGCTGGTTATGAGAATCATATAATGTCACGCGGCCACGATTTTGGATTTTTGCAAAGAGCCAGATAATTATGAGATTGGTTTCTGTGTGTCTGGTGTTATGGCCGTGCCAGAGAGCCGCTCGTGGGGGGTAACTATAAGCTCTGAGGCAGCGGCCACCTTGCTGCGGGGGCGGGGGGGGGGGGGAGGCGGAAGGGAGCAACACCCTTTCTCTCCTGGGGAGGCATGGCGCTGTAGTTTAACGCATGGTCCATTCACTTTTCTTCTGCAAGCTGCTGGGCTCTAGACTAAGTACTTTTGCCTCTGGAGCCATGGCCGTGTCAGAGAGCCGCTTGTGGGGTGCAACTCATGACCTCGGTAGGGCGTGAAGGATGAGCCGGTACTGCCCCCCTTCCCATGAGACTGCAGTTACCCCGTCGCCGCTGGCTCATACCTGGCTTTCCAATAAGCTCTGAGGTGGCGGCTACCTTGCTGCCAGGGGGGAAAAAGGTGGAAGGGAGCAACACCCTTTCCCTCCCAGGGAGGCATGGCGCCGTAGTTTAACACATGGTCCATTCACTTTTCTGCTGCAAGTTTCCAGGCTCTGGTTTAAGTCCTTTTGCCTCTGGAGCCATGTCCATGCCAGAGGCCGCTTGTGGGGGGCAACTCGTGACCTCGGTAGGGCATGAAGGATGAGCCGGTACCACCCCCCTTCCCATGAGACTGCAGTTACCCCGTCACCGCCGGCTCATGCCTGGCTTTCCAATAAGCTCTGAGCCGGCGGCCACCTTGTATGCAGTCCAGATGCATTTTTGCCAAAAGCCGCTGGGTTTCAAGATGTGTTTCTGAGTCTCTGGTATCATGGCTATTAATCATCTTGATCAGGAGCCAGAGAGGCCATTTGTAGGCGGCGACTCAGGGTCTCGTTGGGATGGGAAGAAAGAGTTGGCTCCACCCCCATGTGGTGAGGTCTCATCACTGCAGGCCCAAACCTGACTGTCCAGTGGCCTCTGGAGGATGGTGGTCACCAGGCCGCCAGGGGGAACAGACCAAGGCACAAAACCTATTCCCACCTGGAGTGGCTCAGCGCCAGTAACTTACTGCAGGAACAGGACGCATTTCTGCCAAAAGCCTTTGGGTTCCAAGATTCGTTTCTGAGTCTCTGGGATCATGGCCATTAAGCAGTTCCATCAGGAACCAGAGAGGCCATGCCTCCAATTATATAGCTGAGCCGGAGGTGGTTTGTGGGTGTGTCTCCCACATACCTAACTTTTGGCCATTTACTTTCTTGGTAAACTTTGCCCCAAGTTTTGGGGGTCTGGCCAAAGGCACAGCAGCAATTTTAGGGTATCTGAAAGTCTGACGTTGCCATCAGGCTGCTGATGCACTCACCTCACAGGTACAGATTGGCCTGCTGGCGGCACCATACCCCCAATACTTGCTACCTTTAAGTACAACAGCCAATTGTAAGTTTAAATAACTTTTTGTTTTTTGTGTCATACCCAGTGGTGGGGCTGGAGCGATAGCACAGCGGGTAGGGCGTTCGCCTTACAAGCGGCCAACATGGCCGACCGGAGTTCGATTCCTCCGCCCCTCTCAGAGAGCCCGGCAAGCTACCGAGAGTATTCGATATGCCAGACACAGTAACAACAAAGTCTCCAATGGAGACGTTACTGGGCCCGCTCGAGCAAATCGACGATCAACGGGAGGGCCTTTACCTTTTACCTTTACCTTACCCAGTGGTGCTCAGGCTACTCTAGGCTCTGTGCTCAGGGAACCATGTGCCAAGGATCAAACCTGAGCCTTCTGCATGCAAAACAGCCCATTGAACTATCTCTCCATTGCCATAGATAATTTACTATTTATGGGGGAAGAAGGCAACCTGGGGCTACACCTGGCAATGTTCAATTCCCAGCTTTGGTTCCGGGATTGGCCCTGGCAATGCTCAGGAGACCATGGGATGCTGGGAATGGAACCAACATCAGCCACATGCAAAGGAAGCACCTTAGCCCCTGCACTATCTCTCTGGCCTGGTAATTTAATTTTTAATGGTGTTCTAACAACCAGCTCACAAAATTCCTGAAAAATGTAAATAAGCAGCTCTTGAAAATATATACTGACTCAACAAACTACCTCTTGAAGACTCATTTGTTTCTGAAATACCATCTTCTAAAGTATCATTCAAATTAAAATACTGCTTGTTAAATTTGTTACAGGCTGGAGTGATAGCACAGCGGGTTGGGCATTTGCCTTGCATGCAGCCAACACGGCTGACCCGAGTTCGATTCCTCTACCCCTCCCGGAGAGCCTGGCAAGCTACCAAGAGTATCTCGCCCGCGCGGCAAAGCCTGGCAAGCTACCCATGATGTATTTGATATGCCAAACATAGTAACAACAAAGTCTCACAATGGAGATGTTACTGGGCCCACTCGAGAAAATTGATGAACAACGGGAGGACAGTGACAGTGAAATTTGTTACTGATCACCATGCCAAAGAAATTTTCATACATCTTAATTATTATAACTCATGAAATATATCTCACCATTTTTTAAAGTGCTTGGGCCGAAGAGACAGTACAGGTGTTGGCCTTGCTTACAATTGACCCAGGTTCCATCCCTGGCTCTCCACATGGCCCTCTCATACCACCAGACGTGATCCCTGAGCACAGAGCCAGGAGTAAGCCCTGAGCACATCGGATGTGGCGCAAAACCCCCAAAATTAAAATTTGACAAAGAGATAAATTGGTTCAGAGTCAAATAACTATCATATGGCAAAACTAAGATTGAGCTTAGTCCCATGCTTTTTTCTAGTCACTGCCATCTGAAGCATATTGTATAACTACAATAGAGGTAAAAAAAAAGTGTACTTAGTTCCTCCATCTTCCTGAGGTTATTTGGCATTCCCCTCCCACTCCAGGTTCTCCATGAACCATACATTCCATTGTAGACAAAACAAACAAACAAACACTGTCCTCCCCGTTGTTCATCGATTTTGCTCGAGCGGGCCCAGTAACATCTCCATTTTTTTTTTGAGACTTGTTGTTACTGTGTTTGGCATATTGAATACTTCACGAGTAGCTTGCCAGGCTTTGCCGTGCGGGCGAGATACTCTCGGTAGCTTGCCGGGCTCTCCGAGAGGGGCGGAGGAATCGAACTTGGGTCAGCGCTGCCAGCTGCACGCAAGGCAAACGTCCTACCTGCTGTGCTATCGCTCCAGCCCCTTTGTAGACAAAGGAAGTGTCATTATGGTCATCCTTTAGGAATTACCATGGTTACCAGAGTCCACTGCTCCAGCATGAACATTCCAGAAGAGGACACGGAGAAGTTTAGATGGACTTTTTCCACATCTATCTGTTGGGATACCAAAATTCCTTTCGAAACAAAAAAAGGGTCACAATCGAAGAAACAAGTAAGGAGAATGTAGGATAGAGGGTTAGAAAGTCACTTTCTATCCATTTATTTTTCTACTTTGGATTAGGGATTCCTTTCACACACACACACACACACACACACACACACCAGATTAACAATTAAATACTAATTGAATTATCAAGTAGGGAAAGGAGTTGTTCAGTTTTTTTTTGTTCTATAATTTAAATTCTTACTAATTGATATCCAAGGCTTGGGAGGGAGGTTAATTTCTTTATCCACTAATCTATTTTTGGACATTTGAGTTGTTTTCAGATCTTGGCTATTCTAAATAGTTCTGCAATGAACACAGGTATATATATCTAGATGGATGTAGAGATAAATAGATATCTTTTCTAATTTACATTGTGCTCGCCGGTAAATGCCAAAGAATGGAATATATGGGTCATTTGATTGTTTTATTGTTGGGCCACACCTGTGGCGTGCAAAGGCTAGAATCAGCTCTGTTACTCCCAACAGTGCTTGGAGGACCATGCAATGGCAAGTAGTTAAACCCACACCTCTTGAATGCAAAGCATGTGCTCCAGCCCATTGAGATCTCTGACATATTCTTTTTGTAATTTTCAGTCTTCATATTGTTTTTCCATAGAGACTGAACCAGATGCTAGCCTCACCAACAGGGAACAAGGATTCTCTTTGACCATCTCTCTATAGCATTGGTTGTGTTTGTTTTTTTTGATATAGGTCATTTTTGTTAGTGTGATATCCCATGGTGGTTTTGTTCTGAATATCCCTTTACCCCTTTGTAAATGATGTGAGAAAGGGATCCAGGTTTTTTTTTTTAATGTGGCTAATCAGATTTCCTAGCAGCGTTTGAAGAGTCTTGTCTTGTTCTGCCCTCTGCACTTGTCTGCTGCTTTTTGGTTTTTGGGTCACATTTGGCGATGCTCAGGGATTACTCCTGGCTCTGCACTCAGGAATTACTCCTGGCAGTGTTCAGGGGACCATATGAGATGCTGGGGATTGAACCCAGGTTGGCTGCATGCAAGGCAAGTGCCCTGCCTGCTGTATTATCACTCCGACTCCCTTTTGTTGATATGATATATTATATTAATTGATTTGCATATATTTAACCATCATTCTTTAGCCCCTGTAACAAATACCACTTGATGTTATTGCATACTTTCGATGTATTGTTGAGTTATTTGCTAAAATATTATTGATGATTTATGAATCTGTGTATTACAGATACTGGTCTGTAATTTCACTTTTTAGTATTATCTCAGTCTGTTTGGGGGATAGTGTAATGCTGGCCAAATAAAGTTGTAAGGAAGGATTTATATTTTCTCCTTCTGATTCAATCTTAGCAGGTTGTATAATTCCAAAACTTCATCAACACCTTCTTTCTTCACTTTCTTCCTTTTTAAAATTTAAACGCTATGATTTACAAAGTTGTTTGTAATAGTTATTTCAAATATTCGGTGTTCAAATACCAAACCCACCATTAGTGTGGCCTTCCTTCTACCAATGTCCCTGGTTTCCCACCCAATACCCCAAGCCTATCCCCTTAGCAGATACAAATTAAATTCATATAACTTAGTTAAACAGAATGGCAAATGAAACTACCAATAAATAGATCAATTTAAGTGAATTTGTGATAATGGTCATATCTCATAATGGTATTACTAAAGTCATTGATTTACTAAGCTAGTTGGTGCTAGTTAAAGGTAAAAAGGCCCTCCCGTTGATCGTCGATTTGCTCGAGCGGGCCCAGTAACGTCTCCATTGGAGACTTTGTTGTTACTGTGTCTGGCATATCGAATACTCTCGGCAGCTTGCCGGGCTCTCCGAGAGGGGCGGAGGAATCGAACTCGGGTCGGCCACGTTGGCCGCTTGGAAGGCGAACACCCTACCCGCTGTGCTATCGCTCCATCTCTATATTATTGTATTGACCCATTGAGCTTGGTGGACTTTTACACAGCTTTCCAATCGAATTTGCTTGCTCCTACTGGGTTGTCAGTACTGTGACATTTGGAGGTGCTGCGCAGCCAATATGCAGCCATACACTGCAGGAGCTGTGGATCTGGGACAGTGCGGTGGCTTGATAAGGTTCGTGTGGAGCTGAGGATGTTGGATGAGAGTGGAGGCTGTGGGGCCTTCCAGCAGGGAGAAGAATCTGCCATTCTGGAAAGGCCACAGTGTTCTAGGCCCAGATTGTCTGGGACATTTCAACGTTTCCTCCTTCTTTTTTTTCTTTTGTTGGGAGAGGGTCACACCTGGCAGTGCTCAGGGCATAATTTTGCCTCTGCACTCAGGGATCACTCCTGGTGGGGTTCAGGAACATATGGAGTGCCAGAGACGGAACCTGGGTCAGCCGCATGCTAGGCAAGCATCCTACCCATTGTACGATCACTCCAGCCTCCTTCCTTCCTTCCTTCCTTCCTTCCTTCCTTCCTTCCTTCCTTCTTTCCTTCTTCCTTCCTTCCCTCTCCCTTCCTTTCTCCCTTCCTTCCTTCCTCCTCCCTCCCTCCCTCTTTCCCTTTTGTCCCTCCCTCCCACCTTTCTTTCTTTCTTTCTTTCTTTCTTTCTTTCTTTCTTTCTAAACTTTTCCATTTTCATTTTTATCTGTTTCATTCATTTGAAACTAAATCAAAATAAATTTTTTAATTATTATTATTATTTCTATTTATTTATTTTTTGTTTCTTTCTTTTTTTTTTTACAGTTGTAGATTTACAATTTTTTGTGCTTGGGTTTCGATTATACAATGATCAGATACCCATCCCTCCACCAGTGCCCATTTTCCACCACCATGGATAATATCCCCCCACCCCCATCCCCCCACCCCCCCCCTGTCTCTGTGGCAGGGCAATCCCCTGTGTTCTCTCTCTCCTTTTGGGTGTTGTGGTCTGCAAAAGAGGCATTGAGTGGCAAACATGTTCAGTCCATAGTCTACTTTCGACATGCATCTCCCCTCCTGGGAGGATCCTCCAAACACCCTTTATTTGGTGCTCCCTTCTCTATCTGAACTGCCCTTTACTCTAGGATACCCGGCTGGCCTCTAAGTTATGGAGTAATCCTCCTGGTGCTGATCTCAGCTATTCTTGATTATTAATCTCATACTTTGTTACTTTATATCCCCCAGATGAATGCAATCTTTCTATGTCTATCCCTCTCTTTCTGACTCATTTCGCTTAGCATGATACTTTCCATATTGTACCACTTGTATGTAAATTTCATGACTTCATCTTTTCTAACAGCTACATAGTACTCCATTGTGTAGATGTACCAAAGTTTCTTTAACCAGTCATCTGTTCGTGGGCATTCAGGTTTCTTCCAGTTTCTGGCTATTGTAAAGAGTGCTGCAATGAACAAACAAGTGCAGATGTCACTTCGACTATACATTTTTGCCTCTCTGGGATATATTCCCAGGAGTGGTATTGCTGGGTCAAATGGGAGCTCAATTTCTAATTTTTTGAGAATCGTCCATACTGTTTTCCAGAAGGGCTGAACCAGTCGACATTCCCACCAACAGTGAAGGAGTGTCCCTTTCTCGCCACATCCGCGCCAGCATCGGTTGCTTTTGTTCTTTTGAATGTGGGCCAGTCTCTGAGGTGTGAGATGGTATCTCATTGTGGTTTTGATCTGCATCTCCCTGATGATTAATGATGTAGAGCAATTTCTCATGTGCTTTTTTGCCATTCGGATTTCTTCTTTGAGAAAGTTTCTGTTCATTTCATTGCCCCATTTTTGGATGGGGTTGGATGTTTTCTTCTTGTGGAGTTTAACCAGTATTTTGTATATCCTGGATATCAACCCCTTGTCAGATGTGTATTCGGTGAATATCCTTTCCCATTCTGTAGACTGTCTTTGTATTTTGGTCACTGTTTCTTTGGAGGTGCAGAAGCTTCTTAGTTTAAGAAAGTCCCATTTATCTATCTCTGTTTTCACTTGCTCGGCCAGTGGCGTGGCATCCAAAATAAATTTTTTTAAATTATCAAGATTTTAAAAACCTTTAGCAAGTCTCATGAAGAAAAAAAGATAAAACTAATGAAATAGATAAAAATTAAAATGGAGGGGCTGGAGCAATAGCACAGTGGGTAGGGCATTTGCCTTGCATGCGGCCAACCCGGGTTCGATTCCCAGCATCCCTGAGCACTACCAGGGGTAATTCCTGAGTGCAGAGCCAGGAGTAACCCCTGTGTATCACCGGGTGTGACCCAAAAAGCAAAAAAAAAAAAAAACTAAAATGGAAAAGCAGATAGATAGTACAATAGGTGGGGTACTTGCCTTGCATTTGGTCAAACCTAATTCCTTCGGCCATACTGCACATAAGCTCCTAAACCCTAAATATCAAAGAAAGAACAAGTTCTTGGTTTTATTGACACTTAGAACTTGATTTCTGTAACTTTTTTTGTTTTTGTGCCATATTTTGTGGTGATAATGGGCTACTCTCGCTCAGTGCTCAGGGGGTTACTATGCGGAATCAAGGATGGAACCCAGAGCATGCACCCCAGCCCTTTGAGTTATCTTCAACCTTTCTATATCATTTATTTATACTTGAAGTTTATTATTTCCTTTTACTTCCTTTTAGTTTCATTTGTTCTTTTTTTAGTTTCTTGAGATGTGAGGTTATTAATTGGATCCTTTTCTATTTCTTCATGTAAGCTTCTATTGTTATAAACTTCCCTCTTAAAACATTTTGTTTTATTTTGTTTTTTTGGGGGGGTCACACCTGGCAATGCTTAGGGGTTACTCCTGCTCTGCACTCAGAAATTACTCATGGTGGAGCTCAGGGGATCATATGGGATGCCAGGGATCAAACCTGAGTTGATCCAAACCAGGGTAACGTCCTACCCGCTGTATTACTGCACCCACCCCCTGCACTTTCCTCTTAACACTGCTTTCGATGTGTTCATACATTCTGATAGTTTGTGTCTTTATTCTCCTCAATTTACAAAAAATATTTTTAATTTCTTCTTTTATTTTCCTCTTTGACCCAATGTTTGTTCAATAGTATGTTTTTATCCTCCCAATGTTTG